GTTTCACTTCCAACCACAAACATCAACTTGCTATCAACATTCTTCTCAGAGTGAGCCTCTGAGGAAAACCAAAACACGGAGCTCTTCTGGCTGTTAAAAAAACACTCTGTCCCAGCTAAAACTAGGACACCCTCTTTCCTTTTGTTCGCGGCTCTACCTCCCCCCAGCGGTGCAGGAGGACAGGGAATGGGGGAGTATAGGTCACTTCATCCATGTTGTTCCTGCCGCTCCTTTCTTAAAGGAGAAGGAGCCCTTACACCCTTTTTCCTTGTTCCAGTGGATTTCCTACTCATGAGGAAAATCCACAAACTTCTTCAGCATGAGTCCTGCCCTCAGGATGCAATCCTTCCCCATCGGATCGCTCCAGTGCGGGCTTTATCACAGTCTCGGATTCTTAGGGAGTTGTGGCCACTTGCTTTGGCGTGGTTCATCCCACGGACTCTAGATGCCTCACTACCCCATAGTGCATCCCATGCTCCGTTATTAACAGTTACTCATCGTGCATCCCCTGCTCCACGACCTCTCTCAGGCTCAGGCATCTCTTCCCCGACGTGGGCGTCTCCACGGGCCACGAGTGGGACTCTGCTCCGCCGAGTCCATCCTGGCTGCAGGGGGGCCGTCTGCCATCTTGCCACCACTTGCAGGGGAAACTCAGGTCCAGTACACCTCGTCCTGCTCCATCTGCACTGACCTGGTGTCGGTGTGGCTGTTTCTCCCAGATCTCAGTCCTCCCTGGGTGAACTCGGCCCAGCGGACACCCCAGGAGCGGGGTGCTCCCCAAACGGCGCCATTGACACCATCTTGAGCATGTGGCGCCGGCTTGGCGCAGGCAGCCGCCAGGCCGGGCGCTGGGGAGCGAGGGCAGCGCCCTCCTCCCTTGTCCTCGCTCCTGGGCAAAAGCACCTTTTCTGTTCCTTTGTCCCAACGTAAATAGGGCAATTCACAGAGGTGCCGATTGGCTCATACCCCAAGGGGGATGGGAGTTGGATCTGGTGGCACAGGGAGCAAATCTCCTCTCCTGCCACCAAAACCCCCTCCCCCACATCAAACTATAACACCCAGCCTGGCACCCATGGTCACCACACACGGGCACTCATCTCAGTGATGTCACAGGCGTCAGAGCACATCACAGCCTGGCAACCCTGGTCACCAACCCACAGGAACTCATCCCGGTGATGTCACAAGAGCCAGAGTGCATGCCAGTCAGCGACCTGCGGGGACTCGTCTCTGTGATGTCACCAGCTCCAGAGCACGTCTCAGCCTGGTGCCCACCGGTCACCGCCCCGTGGGGACTTTTCCCGATGATGTCACAGGTGCCAGAGTGCATCACAGACTGGCGCCCTGGTCACCGTCCCACAGGGACTTGTCCCGGTGATGTCACATGTGCCAGAGTGCGTCCCAGCCTGGAGCCCCTCATCACCACTCCACGGGGACTTGTCCTGTTGATGTCACAGGCACCAGAGCATGTCTTAGCCTGGCGCCCCTAGTCAGCTCCCCGGGGGGAATCTTCCTGATGATGTCACAGGTGCCAGAAGCTGTCCCAGCATAACGCCCCTGGTCAGCACCCCGCAGAGACACATCTCATTGATGTCACAGGCACCGAAGTGTGTCCAAGCCTGGCGTACCTGGTCACCGCCCTGTGGGGACTCGTCCCTGTGATGTCACAGGCGCCAGAGCACATCCCAGCCTGGCATCCCTGGTCACCGCCCCACAGGCACTCATCCCGCTGATGTCACAGGTGTCAGAACTGGTCCCAGCCTGGCACCCTTGGTCATCACCCCACGGGGATTCATGCCGATGATGTCACAGGCACCAGAGCACATCACAGCCTGGCGCCTCTGATTACTGTCCCACCGGGACTTGTCCCGGGTGATGTCACAGGCGACAGATCGCATCAAAGCCTCGCACCCCTGGTCACTGCCCTGCGGGGACTTGTCCCGGTGATGTCAGAGTCGCCAGAGTGCATCCCAACCTGGCGCGCCTGGTCACTGCAGAATGGGGACTCGTCCTGGTGATGTCACAGGTGCCAGAGCACAGCACAGAGTGGCACTCCTGGTCACCACCCCACGGGTAATCGTCCCGGTGATGTCACAGACACCAGAGCATGTCACGGCCTGGCGTCCTTGGTCACCACCCCACGGGGACTCGTCACGGTGATGTCACAGGCGCCAGAGCGCATCCCAGCCTGGTGTCCCTAGTGAGTGCACCGTGAGGACGTGCCTCGTTGATGTCACAGGCGCCAGACCGCATCACAGACTGGCACCCCTGGTCACCGCCCCACAGGTAGTCATCCCAGTGATGTCACAGACACCAGAGCACATCACAGCCTGGAGCGCTTGGTCACCGCACCAGGAGGACTCGTCACGGTGATGCCACAGAAAAAGGAAGTCACAGAAAAAAGAAGGAAAAAAAAGAAGAAAAAAAGAAGAAAAAAAAGAAGAAAAAAAAGACAGAAAAAAAATTAAAAAGACAAGGATGAAAAAAGAAAGAATTAAAAATTAGAAAAAAGAAGAAAGAAGAAATAAAAAGAAAAAAGAAAACAGAAAAAGAAAAAAGAAAAAAGAAAAAATTAAAAAGGAAAAAGAAAAAAGAAAAAAGAAAAAAGAAAAAAGAAAAAAGAGAAAAGAAAAACAAGAAAAGAGAAAAAAAGAAAAGAAAAAAGAAGGAATCAAAACCGAAAGAACAAAAAAAGAACTGACAAGAGACAGACAAAAGAGGCTGAGAGAAAACAGGCCGAGTTCTTTCCTCTGCTGCCCTCGAGGCCGAAGCATTTCTGCACATCCAAACTCTTTTCCGTTCCTGCCCTTCTCCACCACCTGCTGGTGCCGCTCTCCTCCCTGTGGGATACGGCAACCCTGCAGGACCTGGCCTCATGGGAGGGATGGAAGCTGTGGAAAGCCCTCCCCAGCCCTGAGGGGAGAGGGGACAAGGCCAGAGGGCTCCAAATCTCCTACCTGCCAGCTGGGATCAGCACGTCAGAAGTAGCAGAAATTGTCAGTGATCCTCTCGTAAATGGCGGAGAGGGGGATCTGGGTCTTCTTGCTGGCTTCCATTGCCATGTGGATGAGGGTGGCGTAGGAGTAAGGTGGCTTGACAGATGGGTTGCTCTTGTAGTCCA